CAGACGGCGCCAAATGTTTATGCAAAAATGTTCACAACGGTGTGTTCTTGATTGTAGCTCGAACTCGGTCTCCAGGCCGTCCTGGACACTTGGGCGGACCTGCACAAAAAAGTGAGCACTCCGACGATCAAGTCAGTAGAGGTCGGATTCCAAGTTTAGTTCGAAGCCAGAGATCCCCGTACCTGATCGTGGAGTGAAGTCCTCTACTTATGGGTGGTAGTCCCGCTAATCTCGCGACGGTTACGTTCGGTAATCTCGGGACCATCGGTTACACCCGGTAATCCCGGGACCGACGGTTACGCCCGATAATCACGCCGTAGACAGCTGCTCACATCGGCCCCTACCAAGCTCCCCGGTAGGTTGGACCTGGGCCAGGTTCACCTCGGCCCTCATACTTAGCATTTGTCGGCGTTGGTGGCGGCCATCTCGGCCATCCGAGCTGGAGATGACTCATGAGCCATCTTGGAGCACCAATAGGGGTCCTCCACGTGTCCAGGATATTCCCTTCCCCAAACATATATATTTCAAAAATTTTTTATTTTTAATGTAATTCTACCATAGCTTCAAATTCAAAACTTGAAAACATATATAAAAATATTTTTTTCAGAATTTATATTATGGATCACATAATTCGAAAACAATTTTTCAAAACAAATCTGATAAATACATATTTACTGAAGCTATTTAATTTAGTGAACTTTAAAAAAATTGCATAACAAACAAGCCCTTAACAATTATTCAAATGCATCACAATATCATTAATTATATTATTCTCAGCTGAGGTTCGTGTGAGAGTAAAATATATATCTAATTACATTGTTTATGATGCTAAATACTTTTATCAATGTTTTGTATTAACTATCATATCAATTTGTTGCACTGTTAATGAATTCAAATATAGTTTAGTAAATAAGTCATTCGTTACATCAAATGTTAAATCACTATCTTCATATTTATTGAATTGAAAAAGAACAAAATTATGTCATAAAAAAAGGAAAAAATAACAAAATTATAGCATATATTAAAATATATCTCATTGACCCACTTGTTAGTCCAATTATTTATAGCAAGAGAGTTTCAAAAAGAAATATATATATATACATATTATTCAATTGCAAGAGACAGTTGAAAAACCTCGCTTGAGTATAATTTAACTAGTTAAAATATACTCATTCAAAAAAAAAATAGTAAAGATATATATTACTGATCAAAAGTTAGAATTTCGGATCCATACTCCTCGCATGATTGAACCAAAAACGAGTTGAGAATGTTGTGTAATATTTAAAAGTTGTTTAAAAAAAATTAATGGTTGTTTTTTTTTAACATTAATAACAAAATTGATTAAGAGACTTGATGCACCCGAGTGAAGGAAATATTGAATATTAAGTAAATAAATTAAATATAACATTATACGTTATCAGGTAAATCAAAGGGCCCACATGTCCAAACTCCATCGAGGACACATGTGGATTGGGTTAGTGGCGATCGGGCAATGGTCGAGCATATCGGGTCCAATTCTGAGCACATTGATTTGAAAGGTTGAGCGCGCCTGGACAATCCGTACAAAATACAACCAACATGTAGAGTGCTAACGTCCTATGTCTAAATCGCGATACGTTCCAAAAAATCAACCAGGACGTTGTCGCACTTTGATCACTCTGAGGGAGGGAGAATGTCGATGGCCCTCACGACCCCCTAGTGTGGCATGTCACCTTGTGCGTCAGCCTCACACTCTCCAAACCACTATTTCTAGGGAAACCCTAATCAACGTAAGTAAATTTTTTCCTATGCAACTTCTTGTGAGAATTCAGCACATACTTCAAACATACTATATTTCTCGAGATTACCGATCCTCTACTCTACTTGCTCCATACTTGTTAGCTCACATCTTGAATTCTAACTTAAGCATAAGAGCGCATTTGGTAAAGCACCATACTGGTGCTAGATTTCTATGTGCAGGTAACCCAGAGCTAGGAGACGAAGACGTATGTGGCACTTGCCCATAAATCAGCATCAACATCATCCATGAATATTTTTACAAACGTCCTAATTCTACATGTCGAAGTTGTTGATGCAGAAATTTGGCCTCCTAGGATTCCGCCAAATTTGCACCAATTTTCTGGAATGAAAGGGATCAACGAGACCTGCTAAATAGAAGAGCATTAAACAGCCACACAGACTCCGATGCTTAAGTTAGAATTTTGTTGCGTAGCAAATAGTAGGGGCTTGTGGGCCTAATGTTGAATCGAGGGTTGAGACAATGTAGGTTCAGGTCAGGCGGTATAGAGGTCGAGAGAGAACTGTCTGGGTTCTCGGCCAGTGGTCAAGAACTCCTCGATGTTGAGAAGGTCTCAACGCCGAGACTTGATCGAGTGCTTGGGCCGTTGGGTTCAGGCTTACTTGGTTTGTGCGTCTGAACTTCTGGCTTGATCTCCCATGCTGTCACTTGGTTCGATAGGAGTCATCATTTGACATAAGTGTATTGGGTGGTCATACATTGGTTAAAAAAAGAATAACACGAACTAAAATAGGTCCTTGGATAATAAGAATTGTCTAATAAGTCCATAAACTTTTAATGTTGTGTTCAGTCATTTTTCAGTACAAAAAATGTGGTGGGGAGATTAGAATTCATGACCTCTTGGTTAGAGATAGACGTCAATTACCATTAAGATAAGCTCATGTTAGCAATTTAGAAGCTAATTAAATAGACTATAACAGTTTAGTCTAAATTTATAATTTAACATTAATATTTTAAAGAATTAAAATAAATATTGTTAAGGGTAACAACCGAGCAGGACATGTGTCTGCCTCACGAAAGGGATGAGACCACATACGCCATGTAAGTACATACCGTATGGAGGCACTATCGAGCTGGACGTGAGTTCCCCCGTAAAGGGACGTGAGATCACACACAGTTACATACCATACGAATAGATAGTAGGGGACGCGCATTTCCGATATGGGTGGCGTGTCTCCCAACTGCAGGTGACAAACCTCAGAGCTGCAGGAGGTAGCGCCACCTGCTAGTTGTCAGGATCGTACCTGCAATAGTTAGTACAGCACGGTGCGCCCCTGTCGCCCCCAACTATCGTCCTTCCCGGTCGGCCGCTCGAAGCTATATAAGGAAGAACCCTTACATTCTTCAAGTAAGTGAAAAACCTGTCACTCACACTTAGGGTGTCTTTTTCCTATTTCCTAATCTGATTACTGACTTGGCCGTCGAAGTACTTTAGGTGGGACACTGCACCGACGTCAAGTTTTTTGTTGCAGGTCTTCCTATTTTCAGGCGAACCTACTCGTTCGAAGGACACATGGTCTCTTCTCGGAATTCGTCGTCAACAGATATTTTAAAAATTGAAAATTAAAATAAAGAGAAATTTCACTAGATATATGTACTAGGAAAAATAGATCACAATTTTTTATTTTTATTTTTTTTGTCTAGTATGATCTTGATTATGTCACGTATAAAAAAATTATATATTTATTTTATACTATTTATATAAATACCTCCCTGACTGAAATGAGATTAAAAAATGATAGATATGGAAAGACAAATTATTATCATAATCACCTATTTAAATATTTTAGATAGATGATCTCTTTTCCCGTTGGCTTGAAAAAATTATCTTCGATTAAAAATAATATTTATCAGGTTAGAAACTGCTATATATATTAATAATTTAATTGAAAAAAAATGTATTGAATACACTAAATAAAAAGAATAATATTTTTTTAGAATTAATAAAAAAAGTAATAAATTAATATATTTGATACATAAAAATTACATTTTATTAATATATAAGATGTATAGATGAAATATATATTTGAATGAAATTTATAGAATTTAAATTAATTTACAAGATATTAAAAGATAAATATTTGAATTTGGCTACTAGGCTCCTATAAATAGAACCTAAAAAAACACAATAAAATTATCTCTATAATTCTCCCTAAATTAGAGAAAAATTTGTTTGAGTTGTGGAGCATCAATTGAAATACTAATCTTAATTTTGTTTCTAAATCTAATTCAATGGAAATCTAAGGGTGCGTTTGTTGGTAATCAGAAAACAGAAATTTGAAAACCATGGATTTAATGAAAACCAGAATTGTATTCTTTGTTTTCAGTGCAGTTGCAAACTAAATTTTAGTTTAATCTAAACTTATATTAATTAATTTATTAACATTTTTTATGAATTTTGTATAATTGTTATTTTACAAGGTTATATAATTTAAAATACATTATATTTTACATATTTTAATTTTAACAAACATAAAATGAGTTTATAAAATAAAGTAATATATTTATCAAAGTTTTTATCATTTTTAATGTAATTCTGCATCTCCAAAATTTCAAATTCTGAATTTGAAAACACTGAAAACATTAAAAAAATAGTTTTCAGAATTTCTACGTTTGAATCAGAGAATCAGAAAACAGTTTTCAAAAACAAATATCCAAAATCCTGTCAAACTCGTATTTGCTGGATCCATTTGATTAAGTGAATCTAAATTTCCAATCGGGGTGTAAGATTTCTAAATTGCTAAATTGCTTAGAAATAAAAATTCCTCTCAATTGTTCGTATTTCAACTTTGAAATGTGTGGATAAATCATTAATGTATTAAAGATTTGTTGTGATTTAAAAATATGTTAGGGAATAATTAGGTAAATTATAAAAGTTTACTTTTTTTTAATACAAGAATTAAAATAGATATTTCAAAAGTTGAAAATTAAAATTAAAAAACAGAGAAACTTATATTTTGTAAAAAGTATCAATTTTTAAATTTTTTTTCAAATATAATATAACGTGACTTTTATTACTGGATTTGATTTTGATTTGGATCATGTTTTCTTTTTCTTTTTGGTAAAATTTGTATATTTAGAAAGTTCAATTATTATCGTAATTAGCTATTTAAATACTTTAGTTNAAAGAAAAATTATCTTTGATTAAAAATAATATTTAAATGTTTAGAGTAAGGTCTTCGGCATGCGGATGGCTTTATGGGCCACTGCCAGCAACGTTTTTAAGCGGAAACCGCCATAGACAGACAAATTTTCGATAAGAGTTTTTGATTTGGTAAAAATCATTGGCTCGTAAAACCTAAAACCCTTTTCTTCTCTTCCATTCAAATCCCAAAATCCCTCTAAAATATTTTCTGTTTGATTTTCCTTCCCACCCTCCACTTTGGTTTTCGTTGTTCCAATCTACTTGTGTTGGGGGATTTTGGTTACTGCTGTCTCTTGATCTCTGACTTATGGAACGTCCCGAGGAGGAGCAGGATCGAATCGTTCCTATTGGTATGTTCTCTGCATCTTGTTTTGACCACTAATTAATTGTTTGGTTTCCTTTTTCTAGTTTCGAATTCGTGAAAACCGTCTGTTCTTTTGCGGAATCGTGCCATGTCAACTTCCGGATTGGTGAGATCTTGTTTTCATGCGAAATTGAACATGGGTGTTTTCGAGAGTGATGGAATTTTTGGATTTTGGGTCTGTAAATTGGGAATGTACAGTGTTCCCTTCACATTGTCTGCTCAAGAACATTTTCATTTAACTGTTTGTATGCTGCTTCTCTAATACTAGGGTTTTTGCTTCATGTGGTATTGATGTTCTCTGCGCAAAAAATGCACCGACAGAGAGCTAAAATCATTACTGTTTTGTTTTTAGTACTGTTTTTCTCCACTTCCAGTCTTGGAGTTGACAGTGGACCTGCTGAGCATGCAATGAGATGCCCTTTGGGGTATACTTTGACAGATCTCCATAGACTGAGAAGTATCTTGATTATTACTTGATAAGATTTAATAGGACAAAATACTAATTACAATTTAATATACCTTCTTGGTCTGAATCTTAATTTGTTGAAGGCCTTTGGCAGTGGGTTGCTTCACTATATGTAGTTGAATTTCTCGACTGGTTAGGTAATTGGCCATGTTAAGTTTCCTATAAAAGTTGCCGAGGATTAAAAATATTTACTGATCATTTAACCTTCTTCTAGGGTGTCGAAGTATAAGGGAGTGTGTGAATGGTCTTGTTGATATCGATTACTTTCAATACTACAAATATTTTCTAAGTACTTTTGTCCTCTATAGGGGCACTGAACAATCAATTATTTATGCAGGAGAAAGATCTCTAAGGCCAGATAACCTTAAAGAGCCGGTAATTCTACTCAATTTGTCTAGATGTTTTTCCTTGTACTTTGCTCTCCATGTTTATATTTTTTTGACAACTAATGTTTATCTCTGCCATTTTTTCCTGATTCATTATCAGCAACTCTCACCCAAAGGTGCAAGGATTGCATCATCAAATCCTTCTCCAAATGCAGTCATTATTGGACCATCAAGGGATGCCATAGAGCAAAAAGTATCTATGGATGCAGGAACAAGTATTAGCAATGTTCATCCTGTGAATGTTTATGCTTCACATGAACCCAATGTACAATATGGTGGTTAGTCATTCATCCTTCCCTGCTGGTATCTATTTAGGATCGGTACATCTTATATTCTCCTTGTGTTTTTGTGTTTGCGTGTGTGTGTGTTTTTTTTATTCTTTTTGCTAAAAAAGAAAATTTCATAAAGAGAATGAAACATACAATGGGCTAGATGATAGAGTCCCCAGAGGAGAAAGCCCGAGAACTTAAATAATCTTCTTGAATTGGCATTTACTAAAGAAAACTATAATTCTAATAGTCCTTTTGAGAAAACAAAATAATATTATCTGAAATGTTATTTTTGTATCCTCTAAAATGTTATTCTTTGCTCCTCTATCTTTCAAAATATGGCTTTGATAGAGTTCAGTCATGAGCGTCATCTAGGAATATGGATTAAGTTTTTAGGAGCTAGTCATCTAAGGGAGAATATTTACAAGTCAATTTCTGAATAAGTTTTTACACAGTCTCGAAGAATACATCACAAAAATCAATAATCTTCTTTTATCCCTGCTTGCATTTAGGACACTAACTAGTTGACAATTGCTCAACTAGGATGCATTACTTGGAGTATCTGATGGCCGCTTATGCCTTATTGATCTCTTCCCTGACCCAATTTATACCCATAACCAAGAATTTAGACACCGTCACACCATTTTCAAGCCTAAAGCCTCTTCAAAGAAAGTCCATACAAAGTTTTTCACATCTTTAAATAATTATTGAACGAGAAAAGGATGGTGTTATCTCATTATTGAGATAATTAAGGAGAAATACCATTTTAATAGTGATCATCTGAAGCACTGCCAAAATAAGGCTGAGGGAGGGTCTTGCCGTAGACCTTGAGAGGGAGTAACCCCATTTTTGTGTTTATTCTTCATGAAAGGATCATGGTCATCCTTTTCTCCTGATTTTCAGTTCTACATTTTTGTTACTGCATTTTTTACGATTTCAAGTTCTTGGCTGTTTCTTGTACAGTTCTCCATGATTTTGGGAATTATAAAATACGTAATATGTTTATTTATTTCTTATAATAAACACAAATATTTCATTAAATAGATTAATTCTACGCTGGGGAGAAGAGAAAGAAAACCCCTCCGAAGCCTAAGGAGTTGCAGAGAAACTTTTCCAATTGGCATAAATTGTAGAAAGAGAATATTCATGAAGAAAAGAATGCTAGGGAGCTCCAATAGGACTAAACAAACGCAAAATATTTCAAATCTCAATTAAAGATCTCTAAACATTTGAAGATTCCCATTTCTTCAATTAAATACTTCTATTGAAGAAAACATTAATGGCATTGAGCCAAATACTTTTGCTTTCTTCTTGAATAGGTATCCACGTAGAGCCTCACAGAAGAATTCATAAGCTTCCTCAATCCTCAGGAGCCATGGAAAAAGAATCCACCACACACCCCCCCACCAAAAAAAATAAAAATAAAAAATAAAAAGAGCACCATAATGTAGCAGCTGCTTCAGAATCTTATCTCCATTCTTGCCTGTAAGACACCAACTGCAAAAGCTGTGAGTTACTTAGGTTAGTGTTGCTTCCAAATCATATGGCAAGCATCAAGGAGTCTGCCCTTTGTTTGAGGACAACTCTTTGTAATACATTTAGAAAGAATAGGAAATGTAGTTCCTCATGGTGTTGCTTCTGAACACCTTTTGACTATACTGGTTAGTCATATATCAGTTTTCAATGGGGGTCCTGGCTATTAGTATATTGCTTCTGTACTTCGTAGGGGATTGCTACCATAACTGCCCTTTGTTTTTAAACACCATTTTTTATGTTGATCCTGGTTATTAATAGATCTTATATCAATTTTCAAAAGTTGTTACAAATTTTCTGACTCATTTGGCAGTGACAAATTATCCAACGTGTTATGTCTTTGTGTTGACTTCAGGATATGGTGGAAGTAGTACTGGTGCTTGGGATGCTTATTCACAATATGTAAATGCCGATAGTTTTCCTGTTGTATCGCCAGTGAGTTTACTTTTGAAAACATGCTATTCTTGGATCCATCTAAAAATAGATTTAAATGCACCAAATTCACCCTTTAATTTCTCCATGGATCAGGTCATGTACAATGATAGTCCATCTATTGTTTTTCATTCTGGTTATGGCTTCAATCCAGATATGGCATATGGACAATATTCACCGGTTGCTACTCCTATGCCTTCTGTTATGTTAGATGGACAACTATATTCTCCTCAACAAGTTCCGTTCTCCCCATCATACTACCCACAGCAAGCGGCACCTGGTTTGCCTCACGTATCTTCAGCAGTTCCTGTTTCACCAACGGAGATGATACCACCAGAGAGTAGTACATTCGAGAACATGCTTTATGGACCAGGAACAGGTTTTTTGCTAAATTTTGGATCCTTTGGTGGGGGAAATCTTGGTTCAGGCTCTTTAACGTCTCCAGGAGCTTATCCACAACCGATGGGAATGCTTGGATCAAATGATCAGAATGTTGGGCAGGTTTGTTTGTTTACTTAAGCAAGCAGTGTATTATGGTTGTTGGGAGAGGTTATTATAGATGCTTCTACAACCTAAAATCCCTGTTTGAGCTGAGTCATGTCACATTTTATCCTTGAAAACTTCATTATGTACTGTCATCTTAGTTTTATTGATAAGTAATATTATATTAATTTATTTTTTGACAAGGAAGAAATATCATATTAATTATGAATGATAAATGAAATTCCAAGCTAAATGTTATGCTTGATAGCAGAATAGATGTATACTTATACTACCTAGAGGACAGCATTAGTTTTCTTCATGTTCTCTCCTTATGAAGCTTTGTTTCAGCTCTATTGTGTGGGAGGGGGTGTTATTATTATTTTTTAAATAGCTTCTTTCTGGCATATTTGCAGCCTTGTTTGTCCTTCTATTCTTATAAAAGAAAATATTGTTTCTTAATTATAATAACAATAATAAATGATTGAGGGAAGTCCTTTGCTATTTACATTGGTCCTCATTAACCATTTGAGCCATCGCATGATGGTTGTGGACCCCTCCTTTTTTGAGCAAACACGTGGACTTTACATAGTGAAGAATAGATAAAAAAAAGTTGGTATAATTCTTCTAGTTATTACATGAGGTGTAAGGACTTGAAGCTTGGGTACGTTCTGATGGAGGTGTGAGTCTAACGTCTTATGATTTAGAGCAAGTGTGAGCCCCGGTGCTAAAAGCTTGGGGATAGTTTGAGGGCAAAAGGCTTGAAAACATTAAAACATTGGAATTTATTGTGTAGTTTCTGTTTTAGTCATTTCAAAATTCACTTATTGAATATGAGATGTATTGTTAACGAGCTTGAGCTAGTTAGTTGGCATTCTCTTTTTCTTATTTCCTTGACCACCCATAGCATGATATATGTGCACTTACGTAATTTTAGAAACTCTGGTTTTTCATGTACAATGAAAACCATTTTTCCATGTTATGCGTTCTTGTTCTCCTGGAGGAAAGCTATTATTTTGATTTTAATTATAAATTGTTCTGTTTTATTCTCATTATTGACTTGTTTTCATTTTAGGTTTCTCTGCAACAGAGACCTATGCATGGATTTGGATTGGTTTCAAGTGCCTTTGATGCTCGGTACCCGTTAAGCAGTTCTTATCAAGGCTCTAACTTTGGTGGTGCATCCATTTCATATCCAGTTGTGAATGATCGTAGCCGGCTTACCCTTGAGAAGGACAGAGGAAGAGACAGGGATCGGGACTCAATTTCACTTTTTAATGATCCACATGGCATCTTTAGTGACCGTAATCGGGGGCCAAGAGCTTTGAAGGCCAAGGGAAAAGGCGAACTAAGTACTGCATCAGGTGCAAGCAAAAATGATTTATCAACTTCATCAATTAGTCCTGATTCCTACAATCGGCCAGATTTTGCAACAGATTATGAGATTGCAAAGTTTTTCATTATTAAGTCATTTAGTGAAGATAATGTTCATAGAAGTATCAAGTACAAAGTTTGGGCTAGTACGCCACATGGTAACAAGAAACTGGATGCTGCTTACCGTGAGGCAAAAGAGATGCAAGGAAATTGTCCAGTTCTCCTCTTTTTCTCTGTAAGTTCTGGAGACTTCTTAATAAACTTTCTTTTTTGGTATTATTTCGAGAAGTAGTCAAGCAGTTTTCAGGAGGAAAATAAGAAGCATACTAGTGCCTTTTTTTTATGCTGGCATTACTTATTCTCCTTTAGAGTTTTTTTTTATCTTACTACTATTGTTTTTTATGTGGCCACAGAAACTGGCTGCGTATCATCTGGTCCATAAGGGCAGCTTATCATTTCCTGGATTAATTTTGATAAAAATGGTTAAACAAAAGAGAAGGAATGGTTTTTTTTTTTTTTTACCTAAAATTAGCAACAATTTTTGCTCATTGTGTATGTACTGTGCATTGTCAAGGCATGGCTTTAGTTTGTGCATCAGAGTCTAACAACAAAATTATTCATAATCTTCTATTTATGCCTCAAATAGTGGCAAATTTTAAAGTCTTGTGACACATTAGTTATTTCTCTGGGGGGTACTTTCATTTATTAAGCACCCTAGAGTACGTAGAACACTGTTTTAAAAATTGAACGTCAATTGCTATACATGCAAATTGTTGATCGTCTCTCCATCCACATGTCTGTGGGTTCCATTGTCTTGCTTCTTGTTGCTCTTTCAATTTTTTTTTTTAAATTTGTTATTTGACCACAGTTCTTAGTGGGTTATTTTATGAGCAATTTGGTTGTGTTGTCTTGCAGGTTAATGCTAGTGGTCAATTTTGTGGTGTAGCTGAAATGATTGGACCTGTTGACTTTGAGAAAAATGCAGATTACTGGCAGCAGGATAGGTGGAGTGGGCAATTTCCTGTCAAGTGGCATATTATCAAAGATGTTCCTAATATTAGATTTCGTCATGTTTTACTTGAAAATAATGATAACAAACCTGTTACGCACAGCAGAGATTCTCAGGAGGTATTATTTGATATCATCATTCTTTAATAACTGCTTCCTCATCTATGTGCATTAAGCACGTTTGTTGCTAGGTAGAACCTTTTATTATGCTATAGGATGTCTCTTGGTAGTTGGTATAATGAGTTTGGTTGGCTATTACTATTTAAGATTATAACCGAGTAGTATTAGCAAGAAGCTTGAAAACTCATGTCTAGGAGGCTCCTCCTCTTCTTCTTTTATACATCTAGTCGGCTTGCATGCACTTCAACTTGTCTCGGGATAACTATTTACTACATTAGCGCCAAAGAAACTTATAGGATTTTAAATGCTAGCTAGATGGCCATCATGATATAAACCAATTATTTACATTTTTCTACTGTGCCCTCATGAAAAGAAACCATTACCCCAAAGGATTTGCATTTTAGTGTGTCTCGAAAAACAGACCTTAATTTGTTTTTGCACTTGGGGTACTTGATCAATGAGCACTTTGCATTTTCAGATATGTACACCTAAATTTTGTGGGTCCTTCCATTCATGCTTCTTGATGCTATTTCTTAATGCCATCATATATTGACAGGTGCCGCTGAAACAAGGTCTTGAGATGTTGAAAATTTTCAAGGACCATGATCCTCGAACATCTATTATAGATGATTTTGATTTCTATGATGAGCGGGAGCGGATTTTGAAAGAAAGGAAAACAAGACAGCAGCTATTTTCAACTGCAAATTCTCTAAATTCACTTCCTGATGGTTCTGTTAGCTCAATTTCTGATCAGTTTGCTCAAGCCCTGCGACTTGATGATAGTAAGAAAGAGAAACCAGAAATTGAAAAGGGTGCAACGTCTAGAATAGATGCTTCAGTTTCACTTGATGATGATCCGGTAAAGTAAACTTCTGAGACTTATTTGAGTCTGAGTATCAAGAAAGTCCAATCATCTGAAAGTGGACATGGTTAGCAGAATTGAGTATTTTGCCGTAAGATTGGACTCCTTTGATTCCTTCAAGCATTTAGATGAACAAGTTTGATAGGTATTTGGCATCTTGAGACACCCTTTGTGACTGATTTTCTGTTCTCGAATAGCTGATAACATCTGAGGCAGTATTTTGGAAATCTATAGCAGTGAAGATGATATCTGACGCTTTTTACCATTTTTTCATGTTCAATTGCCCAAAGCAGCTGGAGGAAAATTGACTACTTGCGCTTGGCAAGAAGCTTTTCTGATTAAATATTGCTTAATTTGCATTGAATTTTCCCTGATTTATTCCCTTGGAAGGCGTTGATGACATTTCTCAAGTGGAAGGATTTTGTGGTGGATGTTTCTGAAAAGGGGTTGGGGTTGGGGTTAGTTGGGTTGGGTTTTATGTAGCATGTGTGCAGTGAGTAGATTATGTTTGCATTTCTTATCGATAGCTCGGGTGCTGGGTATTTACAAAGTTACCCTTTTGGTGAAGCAGATTAATAAAGGCATTATCAAAATTTCATTGTTTTAGGGAGTTGACATGTTTTATTTGATATTTCCTTATGGGGGGTTGTATCTTTAGTAAGTCCAGGGGCAGCTGCTGTGAATTTTACAACAGAGGAGAGGATTATTTAACTTGAGTGGCCACTTTGTGTTTTTCTTTTTCTTTTCTTTTTTTTCTTTTTTTTTTTTTTAATTGTCTGATATGGTATTCTAGATGTCTCTATATCACAAGGAACTTCTGAAGGAGCTAGGGAGATAGGTTTTGTGAGATTACTCTGAAGAATTGTAATCTGCTGTTAAATTGTACAACAATTACTCCCTCTTTTATGTCAATTTCTCTTTTTCCTGCTCACAGAGTAAGCTTTGTGCATACCTTATTCTGCTTTTGAACAGATGCTTCGATTCCTGCGAGACTGGAGCGTGTCGTGTTGTTTGCTTCAGGATGGGATATCTGATTTACAGTAACTCCCTGAGGCATTCAGGCCAGGTTTTCATTATAGCAACTCGTTGTCTGTCTGCTTTTTATTTTCTTCTTTGTTCCGAAGAATATTGCCTTTGAAATTTTCAGGATTTTTTTTAATTTAATTTTTTTTTATACTCAATGGGCACTTGAAGAAGTTTGAAAATGAAGCTTAAAAGGTCTGCTTTGCAAGTATTTCTAAATGGCACTTTTTTCTCTTTAGGGTTTGAAAAGTAGTGTTCTTCAAGCTTTGGCATTGTATGAAGCAAAATAATGACGACTTTAAAGAGTATGTGCATTTTGTTTGTTTAAGAGAGTGTTTTGAGATGTTAGGATGGTGTTTTTGGGCAATTTGGATGGGCAATTTTATCTCAAATCTTTTAGGATCCATCAAATTTGAGGTCCACTGTCATCTCTAATGGAGTCTTTTTGGCTCAGGTTTAAATATTCGTTCACTCCATGATTTCGGTTTTGTTTCATTTTCGTACACTCGGAAAATGTCTATTTTGGTCATTGTGTTTTAAAAAGAGACCATTTTGATTATTTATTTTATTTTCATTTCTTTTTATCATAATTTTGGCATGACAATCCACTAATCAAATTTTTTGAAATGTTGTCTTAAATTTGTATTAAAGGTTTTCATTGTGTATAAAATTTGTATTAAAATTTTACAATTAGAGTTTAAGTTGGAAACGTTTTAAAAGTATAGAAGAGTAAGATGTACGTTTTGATAGTACAAGGATTCAAATGAGTATCTTGAAATTATAGAATAGAGATTAAAATGAACTAATGTTGAAATATAGAAATTAAAATAGTATTTTAATTTAATAATGTCAAAAGTATGGTCAAAAAAGTATTTAAACATAATAATGTTCTATTAATCTTTCAGTTAAACTACAAACCATTGGAACACACGATATAATTAGTGAGCTCCTTGTCGCTGCACGTTAGGAAAAAAAGTGAGTGAATGGCTAGTCCCATTCAAGTTTCTCAATTGTCAGATAAGAAATGAGTGAGATGAAATTGAGTATTCATCTCCATCTCTCTTAACTAACAACGATAAATAGAGATGAGTAAATTTTGGATTCTCAAAATTGAGAATTTTCTTTTTAGAGAAATGATATTCTCCGCTATTTGAAGAATTTCGTTAGCATCTTGTGACGCATGCTCTTTGTAAAGCCAAATCCGGTTAAACACGTGAGCATCTAAAAATTATGTGAAGATAAAGAACGAAAGGCAAAGTAAAAAACTCTACTTTTGATATTTTGTTATTTTTCAATTTTGACTCTAATCTTAAATAATCCTATGGTATCAAAAAACATTTAATAAATTTAGTTGAGAGTATTTTATATTCTAATTTAATTAAAAAGGGTTACATAACTATTTAGTGTAATATAACTTACTAGATCTCAATTGAGTCATTAAAAAAATGCGACAACATCGTTAAAAAATACTAACTTTATCTATAAATTTCAATCATAGTCCAATTTGTGATGACCACAGCACTCTGTTAAGAAAAGTTTGGTATACGGATAATAAAATTGTAAAGTTCGAAAAATGACGCAAAACATTAAAGAAAAAACCATCATATATTTACTCGAAAGCTCGAGAATTTCAGAGAAAACATGAAGGCATTAAGCATTTAAGGGCAGCTGCAGCTGGTCGGGTTCTCCGGTGCGACGGCGGGAGGCGGCGGCACGGTGGCGACGGCAAAACCTCAGCCCTTCTGCCTGTCTTTCGCACCTCCTTGACGACCACTTTGCGATCCATGTAACCCAAAACTGTGATCTTGTTCAATGCCATGTTCATTTCCACACACTTCACTCCTGTTTGTTCATATTCTATATCATATTTTTGTCTTTGATTTTTTAAATTTATTTTAGGCTAATATATATGCTTTAGTCTTTTTTTTTTCAATTTAGTCTCTATTATTTTGATAATGTCAAATTTGGTCACTTACATTTTAACATTTTTCAATTATATTTGCTCTGTCAATGAATGTTAAGATTCTTACCTAACATGATATAAACTTCGTTAAAAAATATAAAAACCTAGATGAGACCTTAGACTACCTTAGAGAGAAAAGGTAGAAATTTTTGTCAATATTTTAGAAATTTTGAAACAGTAAAAACTAAATTAAAAAATATATATTCAAACATTAAAAATTAAAAAATACATTTAGTCTTTATTTTATTTCGGAGAATTTTAAACTTTTAAATGTCATCCGTGTTTTTCGATCCTATAGATTTTCCATGTAAAACTATTTTAATGCATGTTTTTAATTTTTCACTAATTATGGTAGTATAAATTGGTTTTAACGTTGGAACTTGATCTATTATTTACAAGTGACTGAGTATTACTCCTTCTTCTCACATGTCATGCACTACACATTAATATATAAATCAAAATATGTTAAAAATTACACCAAAAATGTAATTATAGAGATTAGTCTGAAGCTAATATAAACTTAGTTCAATAGTTAAGGCATTTTGTTCATTTTCTAGGAGTCGGAAGTTCAATGTCCCATCTCTACATCGTTGTACTAAAAAAAAATAAAAACTCGTTCAACTATTTGGAAAATTGTGATGGCATGATTTGTAGAAGTCGATATTATTGTACAAATTGAAACTATGATCACACATTCGTACCTTTAAATAAAAAAATACAACTTCACTTTTAAATATATAAACCAGGTGCAAGAACACACTAAAAAACACAAGAAAAAAACAATTGTTTTAAATACATTTTTCTCAAATTCTTATAACTAAATTATAAGTTTTTAAATTTTGGATGATGGTCTCATTTTAGAAAGAGAGAATCACTCGATACCTTTTTCGTGGATGACACAATTACAACTACAATATAGCAATCATATATTTCTTTTTTTTTTAAAAAAATAGTACAATCATATATTTCCATCAATCAGAACAAACCCTTTAATATATTAATATAATTTTCTTTAGTTATTTTAATACGAAATAAAATTTATAACTTTATTGTATCTTATTAAATCTCTACCACGCTTTAAATTTTATATCTAATAAATTTATGAACTTTAAAAAGTGTCTCAAAATTTAGAGCAAAAAACTATTAAATACATAATTAAAAATTCAATAACTTGTTAGACACCTCTTAAAACAGATCTATTAAATACAACATTAAAAATTAAAAAACCTATTTAAACACTCCTAAAATTTAGAGGACTATTAGGCATATCTCTAAAAATTCAAGGGTAAAATATATAATTGGTTAAAAATATACATTATTCGTCCCTAATATTTGACCCTAATATTTGAGTAGTTTTTTAATTTAGTCTCTAATGTTTAAAAAGTCTTCAATTTAATCATTCATTGTTGGTAAATATTAATATTAGATAGATCGTCAACTTACATGGCATAATACAAGAATCCTATTTCGTCTCATCGACGCATACCAAAAACCTTATGAAATTTTAATAATATGTTTTTTGACATAAGGATTCAATCGTTACAAACATTAGATAATAGAGACTAAATTTATTACTAATTTAAAAGTACAATAATTGAATCATTATAAACTAAAGTTTAGAGACTAAACGATACTCCAATCGAAAATGAATAACATACCTCTGATTTTGCAAAGCACTTTTCGAAGTGCTTTTTCGCAGGCCTTGCAATGCAAGCACACCTTCAAATCAACGACCTCCATGGAAAACCGATGAAAGCTTGAATTGTGAACAGTGATGGAGCGAAAGACGACGAAGAAGTTTTTTTTTTTTTTCTTGTTTCTGTTCTTATATCAATTATTATTATTATTATTATTATTTAATTTCATGTGGAAGAAATCATTGTGGATGGAATCGCACGCATCTCATTCTTCCCTTCACTCTCAAGATTTCTTCCCCATTTTTTTTCAACACTTTTTTTTTTAATTTTTTCTTTTTTCAACACTTTTGTTTTTGTTTTTTAGTTTTTTTCTTTAGAATCATTACATCATGGAGGAGATTCGATCCTTCTAGCAGGAAAGAAAGTTCTTAGTTCGTGATTTGAGAATAGAAATTAGAAATTTGAGAGTAAGTGATTTAATCAAAAACAAAGTTGTAATAAGTAATAATTACAGCAAGAAAGTTTATGTGTGTGTTATAATAAATATAGAAATAGATAATGTTTAGATGTCGTGGTTACTTAATCGGATTTAAAAAATTAACACCTATATATTTTAATTGTCAAATTTTTAATGGTAGTAAGTACGGAAGATGCATACTTACTTGATGGGATAATAAACTGTTAAAAAAAAGTGTTCAAAATGAGAGTACTCATGGGATCGAAGATGAAGAATGCATCTCGATCCCGCTCAATTGGCAACCCTACACAGTTTTGTATTACAATAAGGTCTACCAACAATGAACATGTATCATTGATAGGGATCTATGTCACCATAATTACTAAAATAATATATCTTTTTATTTTTTAAAGCATCGGTCACTTGCTTGAACAAGTCATTATAGAGGGCAACAAAACAATGTGGGTGTTTTAGTAATTTTAACTAAGACATTAAATTATTTCATATATTCATATTCATATTCATTAAATATGAATATATGAAATAATATATACTCCTGGAAAAATTAGTACCAGTAGTTTAATTACTTTTTAGCCAACCACCTAAGATACCTATGTCCAATATTCACGAGTTAAAGACATCTATGTCCAATGAGAATTTTGTGGGTTCGAATCCACCTACCTAGCTCGCATAGTGTTAAGAGAGCACATTGATTTTGTGTAAATAACTAGAAACAGTTGGGCTGCTATTAAATATTTGTTTCTGTTATGTTATTGTTATGAGGTGAGCTGTGTTATGTTGTATAAATCTATGTATTTGATCTTTTGTTGAATGAGAATGAGAACATATCATCAATTTCGTTTCTCTCTAGACTATTTCTAAGCATACTTAAATCTTTAAGACATAGTACTTAAAAAAATTAATTACTTTTTAAAAAATATTTAAAACTTAATTAATGTTATAATAATAAAATAGAGATTAGACTAAACAACTGAAAAGAGGAAATGCAGCCGAAGAAGGAGCGGACCCGAAGAGAGTGGGTCGAGACCTCCTCAGCCCAATGGTCGAGAACTTCACCGATTTGCCTCGACCCCCGTGCAGCCCAATCCGAGTCGACTTGGTCTCGATCCTGAATTCAGCATGAGAGTCACTCCGTCTAGATCTCTTGAGTGCATTAGGATTCAACTTATGTAAATTCTAAAGAGAATAGATTCAACGGATGTAAATCGTGAAAGGATTAGGATTCGATCTCTATAAATACGAGAGTAAGCTAAATCTAAAGGTATGGTCACAACACCCCACACTTTATATTCAACTACTCCGATTCTGACTTAAGCATCGGAGCCTATGTGGTAAGAGTCCCACCGATCTTTAATGCTATTTTGTTTTGTAGGTCTCGTCGATCTCTTTTATTTTTGAAAATTAGTGTAAATTTGAAGGAATCCCAAGAGGCCAAATTTTTGCATCAACCATTAATAACTTTTTTTTTTTGTTTTGAGAAATTCATTAAGAAACAAAAAAGTCTCTTGATTCAAAAAATTAATAAACAAAAAGGTCCCTTGATTCAAAGAAAACAAAAAAATGAAAGAAGAAGAAAAAAAGGTCCCTACCGGCCACGTTACATAACTTGAGTGGAATACAAAGATCCCAATCTTCATTGCTTTGAGACTCAATAGCCTTAACGAGTGCGAGTACAAACTAGAAACATCGACTTCTCTACCAATTTAATTACAAGAAATAACTTCAATAACAGTTCATTAAAACTAGAATTTCATGAATTATCCAACGAATTTCGGTAAGAGCTTAACAAATTGACTACTTCTTAAAAATCAATTTCAAGTTGGTTGGATAACCCACCAGATAATGTAATTTCTTAACCCTTCATAGGGTGGGATGCCCTCTTGTCTACTATCCCACAAAATTTTTAATCCTCGTCTCTACTCCATTCTCCGGTTAGCAGATGAGTCACAATTTTCGTAAAGAATAGATTTGTCGTTCAAACTTTCATTTTTAATTAAAAAATTTTATATGTCAATAAATATATTATTTAAAGGTGCGAGGATCATTAATTTGAGCTGGTAGGAATTTTTTCCAATCAAAGCACGTCTCAACCATATTTAACCTTCTCATGCAGATTCATCCATGTGGTCTTTTGTATAGTTATAGCATAACACTCATACTTCTAGTATGAGTTTAAGATTTCAAGAGATTTGTCAGAAACTATCTTTAAGAGAACTTTAACCATATCCTTCTTTGCTTTTGGTTTCTAGCTCTTCTATAAGTGGGAGAATTTTACATTCTTCTAACTTCTCTAAATATTTAAAAAAGAAAAAATAAAGACAGGATCATCATTCTCATCTAAAAACTAATTCATAGTCATTAAAAGCAAATTCGACACAACCTTGATATGAATCGTGTTTTACTGGTTGCTTCCCAAGGTTAACACAATATCCGAATCAGACATGCAATTGTTGGAGTGGATTGGAATCAAAGTAAAATGCTAGAAAATGTTAGAGGGAAAAACAGAGATCAAGGAGACAATTTTCTTCTCTACGCTAAAAACAAATATTTAAGAAAAAGTTCTTTATGTTTTCAGACGACACATGTATGGAGAGATATCTTGAACTTACTATAAACATCTTTTGCAAATCCAATAATGAGCCTTTCATTATAAACCCTTTCCCCACTTAAAAAACTATCTATGTGGGACAATAAACAACAATTTGGTCAAACATATTTGACATTCCCAACAGTCCAACATGAATGACAAAAAATGTAAAATTAAAAAAAAAAATTGAGCAAAGAAAAATGAAATTAAACATTAATATCTTTCTATTTGAATTAATACATAGTGAAGTAAGACAAGAATCTAAGTAGTGAAAGTGAGTTACTTTTGAACTTTCAGTAATTATGGTTGAGACCCCCACAACACCTTTTTAGTCTCTATCTTTGATCCTGCGATATACACCAAGTGCTATTAATGGTCATGCACATAAAACCTCGGGTCGTCGTGAAAACTCTAGAAAGAGACTCTTACCTCTTTCATAGAAGGCGACTCTACCTTCATAGTCATGTTATTGCTTCATCAAGTCTATTGTAGATAGACCACTCAAAACTGAGCTATGAAGACTTTGTAAATAATTCATCAAGTCCATATACAGACCACCCAAAGTAAGGGCTATGGATTCGCACAATACATCTATAATCCATCAAGTCTAAATGTTGGGCCATGGGTTCGATTTGAGTTCATTTTTATGTTCTGAAAACAATATATTTGGGCTGGRGGGGGGGGGGGGTACTTCTTCTCTTTTTTATATCAACTCCAATTGATGGTGAGTGAGAGAGGTATGTTGTTTTAGGGGATTTTTCTATTGAATTTTTATGCTCATTGTTGTTGAGAATAATACTCCATGTATTTCGTTGTTGCTCTTGGTGATATGAATGGAATGGATGGGTTGTCACAGTGGATGTAGATCACGTTGATCGAACCACTATAAATCAGTGTGTTATTTCTTCTCTCTTACTCATTTATTTTGTTGAATTTATCGTTGGAACTTAATTATTTGTTATTATGTATTTTCTGAAATTGTTGGTGTTGTTAGCATAAGTTGGAATTACCCAACAAGTGGTATCAAAGCCTCGTTTGAGCATTTTTACACCAAGATTTTATCAGAAAATTTGGAAAGATTGTTATTGGTGAATCTTGAAAATGACTACTAAGTTTCAACTAAAGAAATTTGATAGTAAGAGTGATTTTGGATTATGGAAAAATAAGATGAGAGCACTTTTAGTGCAACAAAAGGTTGCAAAAGATCTTGATAATCCAAAGAAGTACCCCGCTGAAATGAAGGAACAAGAGAAGGAAAAAAATGCTTGATTTAGCCTTTAGTATACTGATTTTGTATTTGTCGGATAATGTTTTACGACAGGTTGATGATGCCACCATAGCCTTATATATATGGGAAAAATTGGATAAGTTATATCTTGTCAAGACTTTGCCGAATAAGATATATCTTAAGGAGAAATTTTTTGGTTATAGGATGAATCCTTCAAAACCATTAGATGCAGAAAACCTAAAGCCTTTTGATATATTTTCTTTTCAAAATTCCTAAATCTAAGGAATTCCAATTCAAGAGCTCATTGAGATGTAAACAAAAATTAATAGAACGGGGTCAAACTAGTCTTACGAATAAGCTCGAAGGGCTCGACCTGATAGGCTTGCTCAACCCATTGGCCACTCGCCCTATGGGGGGCTCAGTCCATGGACCTGTGCCCATTGACTTGACTCATTGCAGTTGGCCCATAGGTCGGCTTGCATAAAGTTTGAGGGTCTTGGGTGATTTGGGTTGCCTTATTGAGCTTTTCTGCAATTCGTAGATTAAGGTTTTACTTTAGGGAAATTTAGGTGAGTGGCTAAATTTGGCCACCCACTTAACAAAATGTCCATTAGTTTATAATTTTGCAAAAATGGCTAAATGGTATATTTGAATTTTTACATTTTAAAACTTTTTCCCCACAATGCCCTTCCTATATTTTACATGGAATTTACATGTATTTAACAACCCTAACAACTTACTGTTCAATTCAAAGTTTGGTTTCCTACTTTCAAGGCATTTTTTCTTAATTATTTTAATTATTTTATTAGTAATTTCATTTAATTTAAATGTTATCAGTGTTCGACTATCC